GGATGTAAAAAGTGACTTTTTGGAAAAAAAATTGAAATATTTAACCAAAATAATTTTTGTGTGTGGGGGTAGGTGTTGGGTGAGGTAAAACAAATCTTAAAGTTTGAAATATTTTTCAAAAATGATTTATAATTTTTTTATGTGTGGGTAGGTAAAAAAATATTTGAAATTTTAAAAATAGGAAAATTACAAAAAATCAATTTCTTGGATGGAAAGGGTCGGATACGGGGTAAGGTAAGAAAAAAAATATTTAAGGATGAAGTAGAATTTTGAAAAATATTTTTCTTAATTTTTAAAGATAAGTCATTTTTCTCAAATTTGACATTTAAGTCAACCAAACGTGAGAAAATTAGATTCTCTTTATACCAAAATGTATTATAATAATATTAGAATATGCTAACGGGACCCACAAGACATTTTTAAATTTTAACAACTATAGCTACCTCATGCAACTTCGATTCTCTTGGTTGTGTCTAATAACTATAGGTGTGTTACACAATTTTTGTTAGTTGTATTTCACATAAAATAATATTTTTTTCACTTAAATTTGTTCATAATAACTTTACACGCACCTTAAAAGTATTCTTTTGATATGTTAAAGGTGATATTTTACTATTAAAATAATAATCAATAAAAGTGAACGTAGAAAGTAGCTCGTTTTGCTATAAATAGGTGGAGAAAGATAGAGCTCCTCACTCAAAACTCAACAACAAAGAAAACAAGATAGAAAAAGCATTCATAATGGCTGCTCACAAAGTTAGCTTCATTGCTTGCCTACTTGTTCTTGGTAAGATTTTCTCTTTGTCTTTTTTTCTTTTTATCTTCTTTGATACATACAAATGTAGTGTTGATTTTCCATCATTAATTAACATATATTTGTTGTAGGGATGTTTCTTCTTGTAAACACTGTTGATGCCAAGGTGTGTCCAAGAATATGTGGTAATTTTGGGTATGGACTATGCCCACGTTCTGAAGGAAGTCCGGAAAAGCCCATATGCACCAATTGTTGCTCGGGGTACAAGGGTTGCAAATATTACAGTGCTAACGGAGATTTAGTTTGTGAAGGGGAGTCTGACCCCAGAAACCCAAATGATTGTTCCTATGAGTGTGATACACAAATTGCCTATTCAAAATGTCCTCGTTCTGAAGGAAAGATGATAATTAAACCCACGGGTTGTACCACTTGTTGCACCGGCTACCAGGGTTGCTACTATTTCGATCAAGAAGGTGATTTTGTGTGTGAAGGAGAGAGTCCTGAACCCAAGGCAGTTGCTTAAGTATTTCTAATTAATCGTTTGTTGCAATTTATTAGTAACAAATGTGAGCATTATATATGCTAATCTTTGTAATGTGGACGAGTTTAATGAAGCACTAGTTTCATATTACTTCTCAACTCTATAGGGAGTAATTTTTATTATTAAAATAATTGATTAAATAGGGGAAGCGTTTCAATTTTTTTTGGAAATAATTAGATTCTAGGGTTTTGGTGATTAAAAATCTGATTTGGTTTAGAATCAATTTGGGCCGCCTGATCATCATCTATGAAAATGATTTGAAGGATGGACATTTGTGAACCGTTGGATCAAAATAATCTGTGGGTGAGGTTGTGCTTCTTTCATTTTTCAATGACGTGGCAGATTCTGATTGGAGAAAAGAAAAGGTAAGGATGTTTGAGTTGGATGGGATTGGGTCCGTATTTGGGCCGAGTATTGAGTCAAATTGGGCCAGTTCTTATTTCGAAAATTTGATGATTAAATTGGGTCCTAAATACTTCACACTTTAAATTTTGAACTGGTTCAGATTTTTATTTTATTTAAAAAAAAAAAGGGAAACTGGTTTAGATTAAATTCGAATTTGATTTTTTTTAAATATTAAAAATATTAATGATTGTTTTTTATCCTAATTAATCTTCCAAAATATATGCACGAACTATATAACTATTATAGTAATTTAGTATACGTATTTGGCTTAATTATTGTAGGGGAAACTATTGATTTATTTCAAGTTATAATAATAGGGTTAAAAAAAAATGGATGCGCGCGCATATTTGAACCAAAGTATCAACATGTTTTGTGCGATTTTTTAAAAATAAAAGCAATTAATTATAATTAATTAAAATATTTGAAAATAAGTTAGAAGGTAGTTTTTTTAATTAGTGTTTAAAAATATGCGAACATAATTTGATAAATTAATCAAAAATAAGAATCTCTGTGATATTTCTTAATTATAAGAAACGAAATGTGCCAAAATTTAGTGTCAACAATACTATGTTTAATCGAGGTGTTTTGGGTTAGGCTCAAGTCTTGAGTAGAGATAAAGCTCTAGGTTGAGGGTGAATCTTGGTCAAGGTCGAAGTTGGATCCCAAATCAGGATCAAACCTCGAGGTTGAGTCAAGTCCTACATTAGGGCAGAGTCAGGAGTTGGATCCCAAATTAGGTTCAAATTATGAGTCAAGTCGAATCTCAATTTGAATTCCATACATAAGTCGGAACCTGATTCAAATCACAAATGTAGGTATGGGTTTGAGCGAAAAGTGGGGTAGGGCACGAGCAAAGCGTGTGTGCCGTTGAGGTGAATTAGTTGGTGGTGACATGTGTGATGAAGTTAAAGAGAGTCTTGAAAATTGTTTCTCTTCCTTGTTCCTACCAGACACACCCGATACATGTCTTAAAACTAATCAATTTGTCCAAATTTGCATAACATCATTTAGATTTCAAGAGACAACTACTTTAATTTTCTCCATGAATTTGAGAATCTTTAAGTTTATTCAAATAAATTTTACATAATTGGAAACTACATGAAAAGTAATATAAGTCGCAACACTTTGATAATTTAAGATATTAAAAAAAATATAAAAAAATTATAATAATAATAAAATTTATTTGAATCTTGAAATCCAAAAAATGCTACATAAATTAGTACATAAAAGTATTAAATTACAAATATTTTCTCAAAGTAAATAGTATTTTATATATTTTATTATTATTATTTATCACATATAATAATTATATATACTCATATTTTTATTTACCGCAAAATAAAGCTTACATTGTCCATTCACCACGGAAACAGTGTACTTAAATTGAGGAAAACTCAGTAGTCTCAGTAAGGCGAACAAACGCGCTTGCTCTCAGAAGTGTGAATGATAGCTAAGAAAATGATGTTCTTGAAATCGTCCGATGATATCTTGTCGCAAAATTCGTCCAGAATTTGCAATAAAAAATTATTTGGTGCTATCTTGAACTCGACAAATGGAGTTGCGTTGAATCGACGGAGAAGAAAACTACTTCTTACACATTAGGTTTTGCTTCTTATTTCTGGTTAGTAAGAAAAGTAGTAGTACTATAATATCTTTGACCGTAATACTTACAATGTTATGAAGAAAATCTACTCGGCAAGTCACAATATTGAACATTATCTTGATTTCTTGAAATTTTAAATTTGAAATCTCTAATTCACCCACCAAAAGGAGCAAATTGTTGCACATGCATGCCATATATATTCAACTTTATGTTCACAAATCAAGAAAGCCCCAATTTCTGAAGAAAATCTAGTCGGCAAGTCACATATAATACTAGCAATGTTTTGAAGAAAATCTAGTTGGCAAATCATAATATCGAATATTACTTGATTTCTTGAAATTTTAAAAAATTGAAATCTCTAATTCACCTTGTAACAATCACCAAAGAAGCACATTTTTTTCCCTAGGTAATCCAATTGAGATATCCCAGGTGCTGTTTCTTTTTGTATGCTATATGAGTGTATATATATTCAACTTTATGTTCAAAAAATCAAGAAAACCCAATTTCCATTAACTTGATTGATCCTGTAAATCCTCAAGGAAAGGAAAACGTTCCTCGTTTTTTAGATGACCCATGACCCACCTGATAACTGAAACTCTAAGTACTTTGAACTCATGTTATTTGATTAGTGTTATTGTATTGTATTTGTTATCTATTTCTCATGATCTTGATATTTTTTTTCTTATTAACATTATTATGTATTACACATGTGTTTGCTGATCCTATTAGCTACTTAACAAAGGAAAATGATGTTATCATATTGGAGGATTGCACATTCCTTTGGCTCTCCTATTGGAAGATGCTCAAGAACAACTTGGACAGGTCCAAATTTAAGATTGCTATTTCATTTCTTTGATAATATATTTTAAAAGTTTGTATGATTTTCATTCTGATTTTGAGATCACTTTATTACATTATAGAGTTGCACAATCCTTCAATCAGTCCTTTTGAAGATGCTTAAGAATAAATTGGTACGTCCAAATCTAAGCTTGATGTGATTTACCTTGCTATCATTGTTTCTTCAAGTTCGTATGATTGTCATTGTGATTTTTGCTGGACATTCTTTAGATATCAAAATATTTCACTAAACATGTTTATGAAGCTTGTTACAGTAGATTAATTAAGTGATTTATTGTACATTTTTTGCACCAACAGTAGTTGGCAGTGATGTTGAGACAAAGCAACAGTATTAACATATATTTTCTTATACCTTTGTTTAGTTCTTGACTTCTTTCATAATTCTGATTTGAATGATTTTACTGCTTATTGGCCACAAATAATAGATCTACCATCCCGGGCCCCACTTGTGGGATTTAACTGGATATGTAGTTGTTGTAATTTTTTGGGAGTAGAATTCTGTTTCCATAATTTTGTGGTGCATATAACTTCCATATGAAATTTGTGGTCTGTGAACTATTATCACCCAGATTTTGGAACCTTTTGTTGTCAGGTAATGATGAAAAAGAACTGAGAGTGTAATACACTGTAGCACTGGTGGGAAATTATACAGGAATTTTATATGGACTATGATCGATCAACTTGGGTGTGCCAGTTCTTTCTGCAAACAACAAAGTAAATAGTATTGTTTTTAATTCTAAATAACAATATTTACCACTAACGTTAGAGATCCTTAGCTTAACCATGTCATAGATTCGTCCCATGATTATAGCAGTCGTAGCATTATTTTGTTGTACAGTTCAATGCTTTATCATACTGTCTATGGTATTTTGCCATTGCTTTTTCATTTTCGGTATTTCCTTTTTTTCAATCTGCTTTGGACTGTTTTTTCTTGAGCTGAGGGTCTATTGGTAACAACCTCTCTACCCCTAAGGTAGGGGTAAGGTCTGCGTACACCCTATCTCTACCCTTCCAGAACCCACTTTTTTGGATTACATTGGATATGTTGTTGTTGTTGTTGATGAAATGTGTGATTCTATTTGTAAGGTACTCTCGAGGTCAAACTTCTAGAGCACGACAAATAAACATTTATTGTTCACACGTCTTCATAAAGAAATCCAATCAATGGTTAAATGAAGGGTCGTTTCTTTATTAATGATGAACACATCTTAGAACTAATCCTAATAATTATGGAACTAGCGATGACTTCAAAATTAATGCCTAGTAACTCTCTTGGGGGTGGGGGCAAGAAGGAAAAGGGAGTTACGACATGGTGCTCCTGCTATTTAAAGGCCTTTCTTCCCCTGATATGATCCAATATAGAGAAGACATGGATTTTGATAGTTCGTTAATGGAACTCCCAAAATCCTCATCAGCACTACCTTCAGAATTGCAAATACCGATTCGTATGCATAGCTCCATGCCAAGTAACAACAAAATTCAGCAGGTAATCAATACAATAGTGTCTAGTTTTCATGAGGAACTTTTTGCATATAGATACCGTTTGATTTAAGCTGAGATTTGTCCCTTTGGTTTCCTTGTATATGTAGGATGAAGATGAAAGGGACCCAAGGTTTATGCAATTGCTAAAAGAAAATCTCTCCTGTTTCTGGAATCGACAAAAGGAAGAAATTCTACGTGCAGGTGTTTTTTGGCTCCTCACACATGTTTACCTACAGAGACTTCTGATATATTCTATTCATGAGTAATCTAAGGATATTCTTAAGCTCTGGGCCATTTTAAGACCAGCCACGGCCCTCACATATATTGATTTTGTTAGAAGTATCTCGAATCATTGCATAAAGATATGTCATATATGGAAATTTTGAAATAATACATATGCTGCTGTTTTTTCCTGTTGATTTTACCTTCATGCAGCCGCTTCATTTTATCTGTAGATCCAAAGAGAAAACCTGAGATGCCCATTTCAAGGATCAGACGGGCTATGAAGTCAAATGATCAAGTAAAGGTATGTTCATGGCTCTGACTTATTCCATTGACATTAGCCGTGGTTGTAGCTTTTAATTTATTTTATTTTCTTCACTTGCTATTAGTTGGAACTTGAAACATTTGATTTACTACTTGTCTTATTAACTTTTATTGATCTGCTGTCTCTAACTGGGGAGTGGGTACTTCAATTTTTTAACCATTATTGGGAATGAGTAAATTCAGATGGTTAGCGCACATTCTACGGTTTTGCTTTCGAAAGCAATTGAGATGTTCATCATGGAGCTCACCCTTCGTGCGTGGATGCAAGCTGATCAAGGCAAATGCCGAACTCTGAAGCGTTATGACTTTGCTAGGGCCATAAGGGATGAAGAGCTTTTTGATTTCCTCTCTGACATCGTTCCACTCCAGACATCTAAGGTTGGTTTATATATTAGTATAGCTCTTCTGTATCCTGCAATACATATTTTGAACCATATATCTGAATCCCGACATGAATTTTGGAGCGTTTGTTAGTTTTCTTAAAGTTTAAAGTTCTAAAATAGGACTAGCTACAGTGCCAATTTCAGGTGCAAAAGGAGGCAAATGATGGCCAAGGAAATGACTCTAACCCAGCTTATCAGGTGGTTCAATCTAATAACATTTCAGTGAGTGCTGTTTGTTCAGGCAAATTTGTTGGTGTTGTTTATCCTAAAAAAACTATTAGGTGACTTAAGCTCAGAAAGTTGTACTCGTACTTCCTGCAAAATACTTCCTCTATATCTTATATGACACGTTACTGCTGAGAGAGTCAAAACTGATGTTTTTACTGTCTACCTATTTTGAATCCTAACTAGTGTAATTTAAATTTTGCCAAATGCCCTAAATAGCCCCTTAAACTTGGCACATTTTGTAAAATAAACACTCAAAACTTAGCAAGTGACTGGATACGCTTGAACTTGGCAGAAGTGTCTTATAGACACAAATGTATAACATGGTTGCGCCACCACTTCCACTCATAGCTTCTTCTAGATTCCTTCAACTCTTCCAACAAAGAGAAAAATACAACACAATAATGATTCTCCTTTTCATGTATCAATATTCTCGCGAAGGTGATGACAGAACTTTTATCCAAAAAAATTTCAATTGGGTTTGCATTGGAAAAATTACTCTGCCGGCAAATGAAGGGGAAAAATAAATCAGGAATACAGCTAAAGATTAAGACAAGGAGAAGACTCCATAATTATGAAGTGAAGGATGTCTCTGGTATGAGAAATGAGCGTACAGTACGGGGATGGGGAAATGGAGGGGATGATCTTGGGGTGCAGGGTTGCATTTCTTTATTCTTATTGTATTTATATTATTTTTTAGTTATGCTTATATTTTTAGACTATTTAACACAGTAGAAGCACGCACTTGCTCTTAGATGCACACACTTTTGCCTAGTTCTAGTGTCTATTTTTTCACAGACTAAGTTTGAGTGGCTATCTTACAAAACATATTAAGTTATTTAGCCTTAAAATTTTATGGAGTAGTACCTTTTTGTAGCCTCAAAATATTTAAATTTTATTTTGATCTAAATGAAGAGTCGGTGTTCAACTTCACAGAGATAATTACATATTTTGATCCATGTAGTTGAATCCTGCTATGAATTTTGGAATGTTTGTTATAGTTATCTTACAGTTTAAAGTACTAAATAACACTAGTTACAGTGCCAATATCAGGTGCAAAAGGCAAATGATGGCCAAGGAAATGAATCTCACCCAGCTTATCAAGTGCTTCAACCTAATAACATTCCAGTGAGTGCTGTTTATCCAGGCTATTTTGTTGGTATTGTTTATGCTAAAAAAACTATTAGGTGATTTAAGCTTCACAAAGTCGTACTTGTGCTTCCCGAAAAAATACTTCCTCGATATATTTTTTATTTATATGACATTATGACTATTTAGAGTCTAACCGATTTTTTCTTGTCTACCTATTTTGATTCCATATTGTTATCTTAATTTTATGGAGTAGTATGTTTTTTCTATTCTTTAAATATATAAAATTGTATTTCGATCTAAATGAGGAGTCAATGTTCAACTTTACATGGATAATTACATATTTTGATCCATGTATTTGAATCCCGCCATGAATTTTGGAACATTTATTAACTAACTACAGTACGAATTTCAGGTAGAAGAGGAAGCAAATGTTGGCCAAGGAAATGAATTTCACTCAGCCTGTCAAATGTTTCAGCCTAATAACATTCCAGTAAGTCTGTCTACCTATTTTGAATCCTAATATTTTAATTTGAATTCTACTCTGTGCACTTTACGTAGTCTCAGAATAGGTAAATTTATTTTGATAAAATTGAGAGTCAATGTTAACCTTCACACTGATTGTTAAATATTCTGATCCCCTATTCATCGATCCATCACAAATCATTGAGCATCTATTAATTATCTTGCAGTTTAAAGTACTAAAATAACACTAACTACCGTACCTGTTTCAGGTGGAAGAGGCAAATGATGTCCAAGGAAATAAATTTGACTTTGCTAATCGAATGGTTCAGCCTCATAACATTCCAGTGAGTGATAGTGACTTTCAACCGTACATAGTACCATGTAAACTTTATTCCAAATAAAAATAGCATATTGATCATCATAAAAAACAATGAGGTACAATGTATGCTCTTATCAATTTAATATCTTATACGTGGGCCATTGGTCATCATGATATTGACATTTTCTTCAGGGGGGAGGCTCACTAAGATAGCTTGCTTACCTGGGCCTTCGCTGCGCCTAGTCGTTGCACTACAAGTCAGGCTTGGTGCCCCCCATATATATATATATATATATATATATATATATATAAATAAATGAAATTTAAACTTCATAATGTCGTACTTGTACTTCTGACCGACCTCTATATATTTTATATGATATTATTACTACTTAGAGAGTCAGAACGATCTTTTGCTGTCTACCTCTTTTGTATCCTGCAATATTGTACTTCCTCTATATATTTTATATTTCCTCTATATATTGTATATGACACGATTACTACTCAGAGAGTCAAACCGATCTTCTCCTATCTACCTATTTTGAATCCTAAACTGTTGTAATTTTGTGGAGTAGTATCTTTTTGTAGTCTCAAAATATGTAAATTTTATTTTGATCCAAGTGAAGAGTCAGTGTTCAAATTCACACAAATATTTACATATTTTGATCCATGTATTTGAATCC